TAAACCCTTTCCACACTCTTGCAATATTCTAAACAATGTTTCAAAACTCTAAACGCTCTAAAAGAGCACAGAATGTCAAGATCTCCGCTCTCTGCCAGCGCTCTCTGCCACACCCACTTCTCCACTGCAGAGTGGAGATCATGGTTCATGATACGCTGCAGGAGAGAGCTTCTCCCTGCACCTGTGGGCTGCGCACAGGTGCAGCAGGTGTTAATTTAAAATAATCCTGGCATCGAGGAGCCAGTTGAGGTGGTTCGAGCATCTGATAAGGATGCCCCCTGGGTGCCTCCCTAGGGTGGTGCTTTGTGCATGTCCAACTGGGAAGAGACCCCGGGAAGACACAGGACAGGCTGGAGAGACTACGTCTCTCGGTTGGCATGGGAACACCTTGAGTTCCTCTCTGAAGAGCTGGAAGAGGTGGCTGTGGAACGAGATGTCTGGACCTCCCTGCTCAAGCTGCTGCCCCCACAACCTGACTTTGGAACAAGCGTAAGATAATGGATGGATATTTTGAATAAAAATCTCATGCTGATTGTGCAGCTCATCCATCAATCAGTGTGTTATGTCCAAGCTTAATTTGAAAAACTGCGAAAGAGTGAGTCCGCGAAAGTCGAACCGTAAAGTAGCGAGTGACTACTGTATAAGATTGTATATGATTGTCTACTTTTGCCTGCACCTCATCTGTGTTCTTAGTTTAAAACAGGTCTCTCTTGTAAATGAGTCCTCGAGGCTCAATGAGACTAACTTGTATAAATAAAGGTGGAACTGAATTGTCCACTTCCATAACTGTGCAGTCATTGCTGGATAAGTTTAAATTTCTGTCATACTTGTTAATTTAAAATGAAAAACATATATACTTCTGAGTGCAAGACTTTAGAAACAAACGAACATTTTAAACAACTCTTCAAAACAAAAGCAAAAGAGGAACCCAGACAGTGAAAAAAAAAAAATCTTACCATTCTGCGCAAGTCTGGCTTAACTGCCTGCAGCTGCTCAAACTCCTCAATTTTGCTCTGATCGACGTCGTCCTTCAACTCCCAGGTGCTGTCCTCGTACGGCAGTGAGCACCACTTCACCAGGTAGTACACCACTTCCTGCAGCAAGCAGAGAGGAATGAGAGCTGGAAAAGACTAGAGCTAGGCCATGCTTAGCTTTTGTAAAAATTTTCAAAGCCTGCGATGTAGTCGAGTGGCCTTGGGCATTTCTAGGATTCAAAGATATCATTAGTGTGAAACACATAACAAAAGGAACAAAACGACAAAAAAAAAAGAAGTAAAAAAGATGCTCAGGAACAATAAACACATGCTGCTCAGATATTATTAAAAGGAAAAAAAAAAAAGATTTATTTTACCTCTCCTGTGTCTTTGTCCTCACAGTATGATACCTCCAACACTCTATCCACCTCTACATAGTCAGGGTTAAAAGGTTCCTCTTCCATCTGAGATGAACAAAATCAGACACAAAAGACAAAAAGAATACAATAAATCTAAATTCCCACACACCATCTGGAATCTGAAATGAATCCCTCAACTGTATTGGCTGAGCAAGCAAATAAGATTCAAATAAATGCACACAGTTGTTAAATCCCACACAAATCAAACACAAAAGTGTTTTAAATATCTATATAAACCCTTATTGTGCATATGGAGTGAACATATTGGTCCTTAAAGACATCAAAGCATGGACGCACACAAGTCCTAAGAAAAACACGCCTAAAATGAACGATTAAAAACAAGCTGCCCACACAGAAAGAGAACAGTATGTTTACAGACGCAGTCAGCCAGCCTTACATCTGTGAAGAAGAGCGCCCTCTGTGCTTGTTTCATCTTGAAGCGCTTGATCTTCTGCTGAATCCTCTTGTCCTTCTCGAGCTGCTGCTCTGTTGCCCACTCACAGTGAAGGTAGGAGCTGAACAAAAAGGACACACAGTAAGACAAGAAACGACAAAAGTGCTTCTACACATCTGGGTCAACAACAGCTGAGGGAAGCACTGGTTCATTCCCTGGATGAACTAATCTCATTCACATCTAAAAACTCATCTGTGCCATCATCGTGCTTATCTTTGCATTTGTTTGGCTAAAACAATATTTGACTCTTAACAGATTATCTGGCGCATGAAGAGAACGTACTACAGCTCATAAATCAGAATAACTCTCACATTGGTTGAAATTATCTTGGACTTTTATTGCGGTTTCTGAGTTAAGAAAAATTCTATTGTGATTAAACAAGCATGCCTGTGGTCGTTGAATGTTTATATAATTAGATTTAATCAGTTTTTATTTGTAAGGCTTAAAGACTTTCTGTTACAACTTAATATGGGTTGGAAAAACATGTTGAAAGTGGTAAAGACATAGAAATGTCAGAAACACCGTCAATAAATAGATTACACGTTTATCAAGATGACTACAGATGGTTGTTTTTATGTTGTTTTAAATTTTTACATTTAAAAAAATCAACAATCAACAAATGCAGGTTTCGTCCTGGCCGTGGAACGCTGGATCAGCTCTTTACCCTCACTAGGGTCCTCGACAGGTCAAGGGAGTTTGCCCATCCAGTCTACATAAATTTTGTGGACTTGGAGAAGGCATTCGACCATGTTCCTCGAGGTACACTGTGGGGGGTGCTCCGTGAGTGTGGGATTGGGGGCCTGTTCCTACGGGCTGTTCGGTCCCTGAGAGTTTGGTTCGCATTGCAGATAGTAATTCGAACACCTTCAGGGAGGGAGTTGGACTCTGCCAGGGCTGCCTGTTGTCACAGATTCTGTTCATAACTTGTATGGACAGAATTTCTCGGTGCAGCCAGGGGGCGGAGGGTTTCCGGTTTGGTGGCCTCAGGATTCCATCTCTGCTCTTTGCAGATGATGTGGTCCTGTTGGCGTCATCGTGCCGTGATCTTCAGCTCTCGCTGGAGTGGTTTGCAGCGGAGTGTGAAGTGGCTGGGATGAGAATCAGCACCTCCAAATCTGAGGCCATGGTCCTCATTCAGAAAAGGGTGGATTGCTCTCTTTAGGTTGAGGGTGAGGTTCTGCCTCAAGTGGAGGAATTCAAGTATCTCAGGGTTTTGTTCAAGAGTGAGGGAAGAATGGAGCGTGAGATTGATAGACGGATCAGTGCAGCATCTGCAGTATTGTGGACTCTGTACCGGTCCATTGTGGTGAAGAGAAAGCTGAGCTGTAAGGCAAAGCTCTCTGTTTACCGGTCAGTATACGCTCCTACCCTCATCTATGATCATGAACTCTGGGTAGTGACCGAAAGAATGAGATCATGTATACAGGGGTTGAAATGTTTCCTCTGCAGGGAAGCTGGACTCTCACTTAAGAGATGGGGTGAGAAGTTCAATTATCCAGGAGAAACTCGGGAGTAGAACCGCTGCTCCTCCACATCGAGAGGAGCCAGTTGAGATAGTTCGGGGATCTGGTAAGGATGCTTCCTGGGCGCCTCCCTAGGGAGGTGCTTCAAGCAAGTCCAACTGGGAGGAGGCATGGGGAAGACCCAGGACACGCTAGAGAAACAACGTCTCTCAGTTGGTCTGGGAACGCCTTGGGGTTCCCCCAGAAGAAATGGAAGAGGTGGCTGAGGAAAGAGATGTCTGGGTCTCTGCTCAAGCTGCAGCACAGCGACCCAACTTCAGAACAAGTGGAAGATGATGGATGGATGGATGGATGGATGGATGGATGGATGGATGGATGGATGGATGGATGGA